ACCCCACACCAACCACCCCACAACCCCTCACCCCCCATCCCCCCGCCCCCCTTCCCCTCACCTTCCCCGCAGAAGGGCCCGCTGTGCCCGGTGCCGGCGCAGTCGCACTGTGGCTCCCCTCTCCTCAGGGCGCATCGCCCTCCATGAGCGCAGGGTGGATGCTGGGCGCAGCGCCGCCGCTCTTCGTCCTCCTCTTCCTCCTCCTCGTCCTCCTCCTGGTGGCGGCCGTTGTCCCCTCGCGCCCCCTGAGCCCCCAGCAGCACTGCCGGCTCCTCGCCCACCCTCAATTCAGCCACCCAACCCCGGAACGGCGCTTCGTATTTGACGGTGCTGAGCGTCAGAGCGGACAGACGGACGTCGGGGGGGCTCCCCCCCACAAACAGGTCGCTGCCCACCGCCATCTCGGCCCTTTTGGACCTCACCGCCGCCGCCGCCGTCTCCCCGTCCACCGCCAGCGCCGCTTCTCTCCCTCTGCGGCTCAGCGCCACCGAATGCCAGCGCCCGTCGTTCACCGCCGACGCCGACGCCACGACGGCCGGCTCTGCGCAGGCGATGGCGAAACGCAGCCTCAGCCTCCCTTCGGCCACCAGCAGCTCCAGGAAGTCGCAGTTGCCGCCGTCGTCCATGTAGAGCAGCAGCGCCCGGCTGACGTTGGTCTTCAGGCTGAAGCTCAAACGAGCCCCGGATCCCCAGCGGCCGTAGCGAACCCACTGCCCCGGCGTCCCCGGGAAGTGCAGGGCTGAGGCCGAGGTGCCGGCAGGGCACAGCAGGGCGCACAGGGCGAGGATGGCCAACGCCGGCAGGCGGCGGCGCGGGGCAGCGGGGGGACGAGCCGGGCAGAGAGCGGCCGGAGAGCTGTGCTGGGTCATAGAGTTGCGGGGGGTCTTTGGGCCTAGAGTGGCCATAGGGCTGTGGTGGGTCATAGAGTTGCGGGGGGTCTTCGGGCCTAGAGTGGCCATAGGGCTGTGGTGGGTCATAGAGTTGCGGGGGGTCTTCGGGCCTAGAGTGGCCATAGGGCTGTGGTGGGTCATAGAGTTGCGGGG